CAACTCAAACACAATTGGTAAATGACAATCTTACCTTGCTTTTGGAGTCTGCATTATTTGTATATCCCCTCTAGCAGAAGTAGTTGAATAGCAACCAACTCCTCTCGTTCAAACCCCACCTGACCCACAACACCTGCAATATTTCAGAGAAAACTTTGGCTGAGAAGACCATCAAAGAGAATCTAAATATATATGGTTGTACAAAGAAGAAGTAAATGGTTCAAAAAGACATCCACTTCTAATCACTTGTGTACAAACCCTAACAACAAACATTACAATCGCTTCAAAGAAACTCCACGGAACTACTCCCACTACCACACACCTGAACCAGAAGACAAAAATTAAAAGAAAGAAAAAGTTGCAATCAGTAGAGATTATTTAATATCATTACATAAACCACCTTTCCACCTTTTTTTTCACTTCCTTTTTACTCCAGTACTTCCACTTGCTCAACAACCATTATTGAAGCCACAATGGGCCAGCAACACAAAAATGATGATAGTACAGATGTGGGATTGCTCGTTTTATTTGATCACAAACAGCCATGACAAAAACGGATCATTCGATTCTTAACAATATAATTTAAGGGAAATTGCACTGAATAATGTGTTTAATTTAATAATAAAACATATTTCCCTTATTCAACATCTTGCTGCAATTTTAAAAGCAAAAAATCTAAAAATACCCTCTGCAATTATTGCAACCCTTTATTATTCATAAACTCCTAATTCTCCACCAAATCTCTTCTTCAAAAGTTTATGGTTAAAATAAAAATTTAAGAATTTAAAAACTATAAACTCTTTCATTCAAACAGAAACTGGGTATTTAAGGTTGAACGTTTGGGAAGAAAAGAAAAGAAAATATATGCTCTGAATCGTTTATTAGCATTCCACAAATATTAAAAATACAGAAACATTTGAAAAAAAAAAAAAAATGTTGCAATTAACACAGAGCAAGAAAGTTGTGAAAGAGAAATATTAAAAAAAAAAAAAAAAGAAGGTCAAACCAGTGTCAGATAGGAGTTTGGACCTGAAGTTATTGTTCACTGCAGAGGAAAAGCGTTTAGATCGACAAAGTTCCATTGATCTATACAAGTTGGAGAAGAATAAACTGAAATAGAACATGAAACTGAACTCTCTTCCAAAGTCATAACACTCTCACCAAAACTCAACGTCACAATAAAAAAAAAATTCAAACTTCGCTGTCGTCTTCTTCAGTTCAAAGAAGAAAACTTCAAAAAAACAAGCAAAACACCATCCGCAGAACAAATCCACATTTATTTTTTAGTCAGAGCTCTACCTAAAACACGAGATTCTCTTTCAAAAAGAAGACAAAACAGCCATCATTTAACGAAAAAAGTACCAAACAAGATATTCAAAGCTTCGAAAACAAGTAAGGACTCACATATTTAATGGAAACTAATCAAACCTCAAAAAATATTTAAAAAAAAAAAAACAATTACAGAACAAAGAAGTGAGCGCTAACATTGTTGAAAGTTGAAGAGAGTTTCATGAAACAGAAGCGCTTACCTGAACAAACAAGTTGGTTGGTTGTGTTTGAAACACTTTTAAGAAGCAGAAGTGACAAAGCGAAAACCCTAGCAAGAAAGAGATGGGAAGCCAAACAAGGCGTCAAGTTGAATTAGCTTAGTTTCAGGTGCAACAGCGCTCAGTTCCCGAGTTAGTGAGTGAGTGAGTGAGCGAGTCTTGGTGTTTTTGTCAGTGGGGAGAGCAAGCAACTAAGCAAGCAAAAATGTTTGCTGGACGTTTTCCTATACATAGATGTCACATACCATTTTCCACGCTCTCTTTATTTCACGCGCCTCTATTGTCACGTGATTTTATGCTCACTGTTTACGCCTACGCGCCTCTCCTCTCTATATGTAATCGTCCGTTTCTGTATTTTATTATTATTAATTAGATTTGAAATTTGTAAAGGTAACGGAGAGCGACATGTTCCGCCCAGGGTTTGGCCGAAACGAGTTTCAAAATGACACTTTTTCCCTTTTCAGGTTTTATTAATATTTAACTGAAATGATAAAAATATATTTAAACAGTTTATTATTTAATTAATTTATTATAAATAAAAATTTAGTTAAATTAAAATTTTTTCTTGGTTATTTATTATTTTAAATGTAAAAATATATTTTTACTTTTGTTTATTTAATTATTTAGGAATATTAGTTTTCTATATTAATTAATAAAAAATATTATATTATAAAAAATATTATAAATTTAATAAATTATTGAATAATATTTATGAGATATTGATAATATTATAATAAATATCAAAATCATTTAATTTTAAACAATTTTATAACATTATTCTAAACATTTTAGGTAGAATTAACTATTTTTTATTTTTTGAGTTTTTAATAGTTGACTTTTTGGTTAATTAAAAATAATAAAATTTTTATAAAGTCAAATATTTAAGGGTATTTTCTTCTTTTCAGTAAAATATTAATGGAAAACTTAACAGAATCTAACGAATGTTGGGAAAGTGCCGTTTCGTCAAACCTTGGGTGGGAAAATGCTGCTCTCCCTAAATGTAATGACCTCATACATCTGAAAATTAATTTGTTTTTAAATTGAGAAAAAATGGAAATAATTTCCAAATGTTACCTGCTTCCTCTACTTAAGTGCATGTGTGGGCTAATGTTTAACTAATTTTATGTTTCTCCTACTGCATTAATTGTTGTTACATTCCAAATTTGTATTAATATTTTTAGTCATATAATAAAAATGAGCAAGTAATGTAACGTGAGATTGGGGTAATAATAAATAAAAGTGGGTCATGTTAATATTGTTTACATGTGCAGGGCCTTGTTATTTGGGTAATCAAGAAGCTCTAGTGGATGATGTATTGTCTCATGGGGGCTAATACAATCCAACCTTTTTATTTTATAATATGATATCAAATAATAATGGTCAAATGTTGCTCTCAAGGCACAGATGATATAAATACCCCAACAACATTAATATTACTTGCCACCTGAATTTGTTATCTCATCTCAAACTCACAATTAATTTATGTTCAGCAGTGTGGTCCTTGAATATATTTGATTTTTTGGAAATAAAAAGACAACACTTGTTGAAAATATTAGGGTCTGTTTGTTTAAATATTTTTAACTATCATATTCATACTATTTTCAAAATATCAGTTTGTTTCTCTATTTTGAAAATACTATTATATTTTCTTCAACTACTTTTAAACCCCTTAGTTTATTAATTTAATTAAACACCTCCAGATAGAATTTAGAAATTAACAAAAACACTCCCACCAATCCACATTTGCCAAATTCCGGCCACTACCACCGGAAGGTGGTCGAAATCTGGTATAATGGCACACTACCAACTAGATATGGCTGGTAGTGCGCCAATCTATCATTTTTCGGCCATATCCACAAGCAAAGATATGGCCGTTGATGGCCAGATCGTTGGACGTAGTTGGTTGTCAATGACGACCGTATCTTTGGCTGTCGTTGACTACCAAACATGGCCAGATCCACGGTGGATCTTGTTAGAAAAGGCCATCTCAACGCACGACCGGCTGGATTTGGTCGGTCGTGGGGTTGATACGGTGACTCTGGCCACCCTCCGACGGTGGCGGTCAACTGCCAGAATTTAATGGGTGGGTGGGGGTGTTTTGTAATTTTTAATGTTTTTATTATATGGGTGTTTAGTTATTTAACAAACCTAGGAGATGTTTTTGTTAATTTTTGAATCCTACCTCGTTAGTCTCACCCAACTCTAAAAAAATCAAAAATACTATTCAAAATACTAATACATAAGCACCCTAATTATCCAAAGAGTAAACCACTTTTTCCCACCCAAGGTTTGTCTTAATGACATTTCTCACCCAAAAAGTTTTAAAATACTATTTTCTCATCTAACGTTATATTCTATTAATACTGAAAATACACATCATTTTCGCAATCGGAGTTCGACGAGCTACCAAGAGCCAAGGTAAGAGGATTTTTGTAGTGTGAAGGTTAATGGACCGAATGATGGTGACCGATTGAATATTCGTCGTTAGAAATCAGCTAAAAACAAAAAACTCTAGCTTTGTGGTGATGGGCAATCGGCGAGAAATCAGGTGTTGAGAATGAAAGAGGTTTTGTAAAGAGAAGACCGGGGGTTCAAATGGTATTGATGGAGAGAATTTTTACCATCAGAGTCGGCTTTGGGTAATATCGAAATATTAACTTTGAGTGAGAAAGTAGCATTTTGAAACTTTTTTGATGAGAAAAAGTCGTTTATTCTTATCCAAAAGTGATAATATAAGAGTTGGGGTATGAATATGATAAAGACTTTACTAGTTTACTTTTGTTCAAGGATAGACGAAGGGTTTGCTTTGTTTACGATAAAAGCAACAAAAACGTCTTATATCATCTTCATCATTTGCTTGGTCGACAAATCAAATCAAATACGGCCCAAATGCTCTGGTTTTCACCAAAACTGCTTCAAATGATTATGATAAAGGGCAAAATGATTGAACCTAAAAATGCTTTGTTTTGTTGTTGAGGTTATACAATACCTGCTCCTGAGATTTAGTTAATAAAGGATAAACATATATTAATAAACAAATGATTATTATAATAAAAAGTTTTGTTAATCTTGGTTTACAAGTTATGCTGCTTGTCGTGGGCCTTCAAATTCATCATTTTTATCTTTTGATCTTAATCCAGGTTTGTAAACTTTTCTTTTACTCACCCACCTCCATTTCTCTTACAATTCAAGCCAAGAAAAGCTACAACTTTTTAATTCTAATATTGTTTTGAAATATTATGTGAATCTTCAAATATTAGAATCCAAAAAATGAATATGTATGAAAATAGTAGTTGCAGTTTTATGATTTAATCTTGTACAAAATTTGAAGGAAAATAAGTTTGACATACAAAAACCGTAAAGAATATTGCATTTTTTATTTTTTATTTTGATGACCAGTAGTGTTCGGACTAGTTTACGTACATTTCAACTAATCCTCAAGGCCTTTGAAGTAAAGAATCGAATGAATATGTTATGTACACATTTCCTGTTGTATTGAACTAATAATATGAAAAGGTGAATGGAGATCTCTGAATCAAAATCACAATCTCAAATTTCTTGAAGTGAGTTTGTCTCCCAGCAACGTAATTTTCCAGCAGTCAACTTGGAATACGAAGACAGAACCCTTTTTGGGCACAACTGCAAATTACACAGATGAAAGATATAATAAACATCGTTGCCAGAGCAGTGCACATTCAAAGGACAAAGAGAAGAGACTCGTGGAGATTTTGAGACCAGACATCTATTATACATTGCATCCGCAATTTCAGATGGCTTTTCCACAACCCAGATTTTGAGACCAGACATCTATTATACGTTGCATCCGCAATTTCATATGGCTTTTACACAACCCGAATCAAGAAGATCAAGAAATTCCTATATTGCGGTAATGCATTCAAGTCCACATTGTGATTTGTGAGAACCTTGAGAACCGCTTTATATGTGAACTTTCCATGTTTTGAGTCATTAACTTTTTATTTATTTCCCCTCCCCCCACCTAAGTCAAATTTTTGCTTCATTTAAATTAAAATATTGATTAGAACATAAAGAAACTTAGAGTTTATATGAAACTACCAAACTCCAATTCACAGAAAGAGATTCCACTATATAAGCTAATATTTCAAACATTATATGATTACATCTTCTTAATTATCAACTAGTTGGCCAAACCAAAAACCATAAAAGAAAAATTTAAAAAAAAAAAATCTCAGATGTGAGTGGAAAACAGGCAAGAACAAGAAAATTTTAAACCACATATCATAGCTGGACTAATTATGGCTGAAGCTAATATAAAGTATGACCTATATGGTTGAATTACCTCGGAATTTATCATCTCTTGTAACTATCCCAAATGTTTCTGCAGTTTCACGAACCATAATACCACTCACTCCAGTGAAAGCAGCAATCTTACACTCAGCAACTACAAAAAATAGAGAGAATTAAGACTTCTGAATAAATAATAATAAATAAAAAATCATCAATACAGTTCATAGAAATATGGAGATATCTGTTTCATGTCAAAACTGATCTCTATTTTGATTTGTCCTATCAGTTCCTTTAGAGAATTATTTACCAAAATATGCTGTTTTTAGTCTAACTTGAATTATGTCAATATAGCACTGGTTATTTTCATGAATGCTTCCAACTGCAGTTCAACTTCTTGACAGGATATGGCCCACACAAAATTATTCTCAGCATATTATTTAAGATAAAATTTTCAATATAAGCTGGAGGGGACAGTAGAATAAAGACTAGAAGGTTTCCTCCAAGAACTCGTTGCTCATAAAATAGCCCATTTATGTCAAACCTCACAAGTAATTTGATAACTGATTTGTGCAAGTAGGCTTGTATCCAGTCAAGATGATTTAGATGGTCCTCAGGCCAGTTATAGGTGAAATGATCATTCATATAAACTGTCCTAAGAAGAAGAAGAAAAAGGCAGAGCTTCTAAAATTTTTATTGATTATTCATTAAGTAATGTAAAATTAATGCTGCAGCTTTGACCAAGTTACCTAGAATTATAGCACCATGCAAATCTGCACTAAGAAGACATTGAGCCAACTGGTTTTTCCTGCAAGATTGAAAGAAATCATGGTTATAGCCTAAAAGATAAACAAGATAATGATGATGACAATCTACAAGGCATAAGACCATGCATAATCCAAATATCAGCAAAATCATAACAAAGTAATATCTCACCCAAAAAAAAAAAAAAACAATCCAACAACAAACAAGCAAAGTATATTGAAACATTGGCGAAATTATGAGGAAACAATATCTCACCCGGTGGTTTTAATTAGTTGCAGTACATAGCCCTTCCACATTTCATGCATTGGCTTATAAGTTTCAAATCTGTAACTCGAACACAAACCAACAATTTTTAGACAAAACTACTGTAAAAGAGGAAAGAAAATTTGTCAAACTACAATCGCAATATAAATTACATCATCCAAACACATAATTTGAGACAAATAGAAATTGATTAATCATAATCTTTCTATCTCTTGAAAATTCAAGGAACTATTTTTTCCCCACATACCTCCAAATTTATATAACTAAAGTAGGAAAAATAAAAATACTGAAATTGCACCACTCAACAGTTCAAATGATGAATAAAGTATGACAGAAATTCATTGATCAATAATCAGCAACTTTATCCCAACGTAGAAGACGCTGTGTCTATTTAGATCTCCATTCCTAGATTCTCTTTTCATACCCTCTTTAGTTGAAAAAGAAATATCTCTACATTGTTGTGGTGTGATGCAAACAGAATAGAAGACACAACACCAGCAGATTCAAGCAAAGATTATAGAACAAAATGCAGGTGCAGATAGAGAGAGAAAAAGAGCTGCAGCTCTCAACCATATGCATCTTAGACAACTCACCTTTGGAGCTCCTGAGGTAAATCAAATAATCCACTTTTCTTAAGTTGCTTCATAGACATGTGCTTTTTAGAGCGTTTTGAGTGGGTCTGCAAAGCACTGATGTCATAACTAGTAGATGCACCCCGTCCTTGTACATAATTATCAAGGAGGAGCCAATTGTCAATTTTCACACTTCTTGATCCCTGCAAGTACTTCGGAGCTGAGTCACCATTTTGGAAGAGATCATGCAAAACCGTGTCAACTGAGCTTCCTCTCCTACTAGATTTCTGCATGGTGCCAGATAAAATGTAAAGCAAGAAGCTAAGTAAAAGAATGTTATTATCTTAATTGTAAATTCATAGACTTGATTGTGTTAGAAAAAAAAAAAAAAAAAGTACCTTGACATCAGTTGCCAACAAATTCTCATGCATGGGCTGGGTGAGCCGAAAATATGTTGGACCACTTAATTCCACATCTGTCCAATATTGAACAACCTTTTATATCTTATAAAATATAAAAAACAGACCTCTTTTTGAGGTAAAAAAATTACATTAAGGATATAGAAATACCTTGTGATGTAGTGTAACCCACGAAAGTGAAATTGCCTACATATAATTCATAATGTGAAGTACAATTAGGTATATGTGGGTAACAAAAAGATAAAATCTAAAATATATTAGCTGATGCAGGACACTTGCATCTTAAATAATTATTTCTAAGGCAACTGGGGAGAAAAAAAAATATAATCAACTTAGAAGCAAATGGCACAACTTGAAAATACAAATATAAACACTTAAGCAAGTATAAATATGACAACCTCTCTTAGCTGACTCATTTGGGGAGTTTATAACTGATGCATCTGTTAGATGTGATGACGAAGTAATAGCTAAAGAATCTGATCCTTTTTCATCTTCTTCGAGTGGTCTCTTTTTTCCATGCTTTGTCTGTTGAAGAGCCTCGGCTTTGGCAATAGCAAACCTTCGCTCCAATGCCTCCATAGCATGTTTTCTTTGATTCCCAGATGTAGTATTTGTAGCCATTGCTACTAGATTGTTCTACTATTTTTCTTGCAACTAGAAATTAAGACTAAACCTATTATCCAATAGAATCACACTTGCTGATAAATATATCCAAATGCATTAAACTTATTGTTCGAAATTTTAACTATAAATCTAATTTCAAAATTTTATTTAGCTTAATATCCACAATTTCATAATTAGTTGACAGAATTTATCGAAAGCAACATAATAACTTATTGATACACTGAGAAGTTCTAAGAACTCCTTATAAACACTAGGACCTTGACAATTAAAAGTAGTTTCAAAAAACCAAAAGCACACCACAGAAGCACCTGTTCTTCACAAAATTTTCTTACCCACATCATGTGCACCTCAAACTGGCATTAACTCACTCACAACACCAAACTGGCATTAATTCACTCACAACACAAAACCAGGGACGTAACATAAAGGGGGGCTACAACACGGGGTAGCTGGGGGGCCCTCCTTAAAAAAAATTAGGTTTTGTTTTATGAAAATTATGTCAATATTGAACAATTAGCCATTTTTTTCATTAATTTCTTTCCAAATCTTTGACAAAGTAAAAAAAAAAAAAAAAGAGTATGCTAACAAGTTTATTTTATCTTTCATATTTAACTCCTTTATATAAAAAGAACTTAGACTTATCAAGGTACATGAGTAATGCAATACTCTCTCACTTCATACAAGTCGCAAACTAACTTTGATTTACCACAACATGCATTATTAGAGAGAGACTGATATGCAAACAATTCAAAATAAAAGTCTATGCAAGAATGATAATCCACACAAATCATTAACCAAGAACACCTTTTAACTCCCAAATGATTGGCTATGGCGGAAATTGACACCCTTTTGACATTTTATCAAACACATTACCATCAACCCAGAAGTAGAAGACAGAGGAAATAGACACCTTTTCTGACATTTTATCAAACACATTATCATCAACCCAAAAGTAGAAGATAAAGAAGAAGCCAAAGTAGCAAACGCTTTCCCGCAAAACCAAAATAAATCTAATTAACGGCCTAGGTTAGTTGATGCGATTAGTATTGGTGATTAATAGATTTTCCAAACCCATGGGGTTTACATATACAGATGAAGAAACAAAGGAAATTGATAGAGATAAAATGTGGAGTTGAAAATAGCATGAAAAGTTTACCAGGAAGGAGTAGTGGCTCTAGCTTCTGGATATGGAGGGGTATCTTGCGCTTGCCCCTTTGTGTTGTGAGTATATGCATCCGCCAATGAAGCTTTGTTTGGTGTTGATGGTAGATTAGAAAAGACTGGAAATAATCTATCACTGATGGAGCCAAAGGTATCCTTCGATTCAGGTCCTAGCGAAGAAATTTGCTTAATATGTGAGCTCAAAAACAAGCTGGATATGCTGGTTAGGATTTGTAGTTGTAGTTAGAATAGAATATAATATATAGGGCTTAGTAACTGCTTTAAATTTTAAATTTTTTAAAATATATTTGTTATATTATTAAAGAATGTTTAAAATTAGATAAATGCTAACCTTACAAAGAGAAATACAAAAAGGGGCATACAAAGACAAATCATGTCCTTAAAAGAAGGGAAAAAGAGAGAAAGACCATCACAAAGACAAATCATGCCCCACCAATACGACACAATGCTAACCTATTGGAAAACATGCCCCACCAATACGACACAATGGCCGAACAATTAAAGTCTCCACAACCACTACAACTACAAACACATCAATAACTATTGGTCTTAGATTACATGTTAAAAAACCCTTTCCGAACAATAATTAATTGCAACAACCAATAGGGCCGAACCATACTGTCAGGGTAAAAAATTATGAACTTTGTAATGCAATAAATTTACTACTTATTTAGTATGATATTGCAAAAAAATTAGATTTCAAATTATTATAATGTCTGAAAAAACTAACCTTTAAGTTACTATTGATTGTTTAAAAAACATGATAAATAGATAGACATAAACATAATAATTATGAATTTTATATTATTGAGAATCCAAAAGTTTTTTAAACATGGTTAATACATTAGTATCCACATAACTACAAACTTTTCATATTCACTTCTTCTTAAAAACACGTTGATTACGGTATATAGTTTTGATGTTTAGTTTAACTTTTATATTAAATAAATAACTATTTCGATTCCCTTGCACAGTATCCCCAGAGTTGTTTTAAACATCATGAATAAGTGTGTTTTTTAATGAATAGTTGTCTATTAATATTCTCTGATTATGGAAAGTCATTCAATGATATTTATATCTATATAAGGATAACCAAATAGAATTTATATTCCATTCAACAAGTCGTGCACATTCAAAAAAATTCCTCCTTTCATTCACATATTCATTAACCTATGGCAGACAGGAAACCAACTATCAACAATAAAATGTTTAAATTCAATATCCAATGAAATTGAATACAAACAATATACATTTAACACCACAAGAAAAACAATAATAATGTAAAAAAAAAAATTTTATAAATATACCCGCGCAACGCGCACGCTTTAAGACTAGTTATCAAATATGCTTATGGCAGTTAAGCATAATGTGAAAGATAGTAGTTTTTATAATATATTTTCATAAAATAAAGGTTTTTAATGATTATTAAAATAGATGTATTAAAACTTATAATATATTTTTTAATAATTTTTTTAAAGATTAAACTTATCAAATAAAAAATTAAAAACTTGAATAACGATAACCTTTTATTAAAAAAAAAACCTTTAAAGAATCAAACTAGTGTTAGAAAAGAAACATTATGCGAGTGTTGAAAGAGTTCATTAAAAGTGAANAAATATGACAACCTCTCTTAGCTGACTCATTTGGGGAGTTTATAACTGATGCATCTGTTAGATGTGATGACGAAGCAATAGCTAAAGAATCTGATCCTTTTTCATCTTCTTCGAGTGGTCTCTTTTTTCCATGCTTTGTTTGTTGAAGAGCCTCAGCTTTGGCAACAGCAAACCTTCGCTCCAATGCCTCCATAGCATGTTTTCTTTGATTCCGAGATGTAGTATTTGTAGCCATTGCTATTAGATTGTTCTACTTGCAACTAGAAATTGAGACTAAACCTATTATGCAATAGAATCACACTTGCTGATAAATATATCCAAAAGCATTAAACTTATTGTTCAAAATTTTAACTATAAATCTAATTTCAAAATTTTATTTAGCTTAATATCCACAATTTCATAATTAGTTGACAGAATTTATCGAAAGCAACATAATAACTTATTGATACACTGACAAGTTCTAAGAACTCCCTATAAACACTAGAACCTTGACAATTAAAAGTAGTTTCAAAAAACCAAAAGCACACCACAGGCCATAGCCGTACATTCTTAGATGCATCTGTTAGTATTTTTATAATTTTAAACATTCTTTAATAATATAACAAATATATTTTAAAAAATTTAAAATTTAAAATTGAAAGCAGTTTTAAAAACTAAGCCCTATATACTGTATTCTATTCTAACTACAACTACAAATCCTAACCATGGGCCATAGCTGTACGGTACCGCCCTCTCTAATCAATATTTCCCGCCTCAGCATATCCAGCTTGTTTTTGAGCTCACATATTAAGCAAATTTCTTTGCTAGGACCTCAACCGAAGGATACCTTTGGCTCCGTGGCATCTGCTTTTCCCTTCAAATAAAATTTAACCGAGGTCAGTGATAGATTATTTTCAGTCTTTTCTAATCTACCATCAACACCAAACAAAGCTTCACTGGCAGACGCATATACTCGCAACACAAAGGGGCAAGCGCAAGATACCCCTCCATATCCAGAACCCAGAGCCACTTCTCCTTCCTGGTAAACTTTTCATGCTATTTTCAACTCCACATTTTATCTCTATCAATTTCCTTTGTTTCTTCATCTGCATATGTAAGCCCCATGGGTTTGGAAAATCTATTAATAACCAACATTAACCTCACCAACTAACCTAGGCCGTTAATTAGATTTATTTTGGTTTTGCGGGAAAGCGCTTGCTACTTTGGCTTCTTCTTTATCTTCTACTTTTGGGTTGATGATAATGTGTTTGATAAAATGTCAGAAAGGATGTCTATTTCCTTTGTCTTCTACTTTTGGGTTGATGGTAATGTGTTTGATAAAATGACAAAAGGGTGTCAATTTCCGCCATAGCCAACCATTTGGGAGTTAAAAGGTGTTCTTTGTTAATGATTTATGTGGATTATCATTCTTCCATAGACTTTTATTAGTGTGTCTTCTTATTGAATTGTTTGCATATCAGTCTCTCTCTAATAATGCATGTCGTGGTAAATCAAAGTTAGTTTGCGACTTTTATTAAGTGAGAGAGTATTGCATTACTCATGTACCTTGATAAGTCTAAGTTCTTTTTATATAAAGGAGTTAAATATGAAAGATAAAATAAAATTGTTAGCATACTTTTTTTTTTCCCCCCTTTCCTTTGTAAAAGATTCGAAGAGAAATTAATGAAAAAAGGGCTAATCGTTCAATATTGACATAATTTTCATAAAACAAAACCTAATTTTTTTAAGGAGGGCCCCCCAGCTACCCTGCGTTGTAGCCCCCTTTATGTTACGCCCCTGGTTTTGTGTTGTGAGTGAGTTAATGCCAGTTTGAGGTGCACATGATATGGGTAAAAAAAATTCGTGAAGAATAGGTGCTTCTGTGGTGTGCTTTTGGTTTTTTGAAACTACTTTTAATTGTCAAAGTCCTAGTGTTAAAAGGGAGTTCTTAGAACTTCTCAGTGTATCAATAAATTATTATGTTGCTTTCGATAAATTCTGTCAACTAATTATGAAATTGTGGATATTAAGCTAAATAAAATTTTGAAATTAGATTTATAGTTAAAATTTTGTACAATAAGTTTAATGCTTTTGGATATATTTATCAGCAAGTGTGATTCTATTGCATAATAGGTTTAGTCTCAATTTCTAGTTGCAAGAAAAAAAGTAGAACAATCTAGTAGCAATGGCTACAAATACTACATCTCGGAATCAAAGAAACATGCTATGGAGGCATTGGAGCGAAGGTTTGCCATTGCCAAAGCCGAGGCTCTTCAATAGACAAAGCATGGAAAAAAGAGACCACTCGAAGAAGATGAAAAAGGATCAGATTCTTTAGCTATTGCTTCGTCATCACATCTAATAGATGCATCAGTTATAAACTCCCCAAATGAGTCAGCTAAGAGAGGTTGTCATATTTTTACTTGCTTAAGCGTTTGTATTTATATTTTCAAGTTGTGCCGTTTGCTTCTTGCTTCTAAGTTGATTAGATTTTTTTTTTTTCAAAAACACATCTAAACATTCTGATCAAACTTAGCACCTAAACAAATCACCAACAATTTTTCATTCGCATGACCTTCATATATGATTAATATCAGAATCAAATAGACTTAGCTCGACAAGCATAAACTCTATAATTCACTAAAACTGGTGCAGATTACTAAGATTTTTCTAAGTTAAAAATAAAGCATTTCAATTTTCTATAATCCAATAAACAACGAATCAATACCAAAGGAATCCTTACATTACGATCAGTAAATGAGAAAAATTAACGCCCAACTTTTTAAATCAGATTCAAGACTTAATAAATGCTCCTCTATAAATCTTCCTGGGGTTTACAGAAACTAATAGGCTAATACAAGAATGATGATCTAAACTACTAAAACCAACAGAAAACTCCTAATTAAGAGCCCTGGATTTGCGACTAAACGTATTATCCTTAGCAAAATGAAAGAAGAGTTACGTACCCCATGATGGCTAGGTAAAGATATCCGACTGCTACGAAGCTCTGAGAAACGGAAGACTGAGAAGAAACAGCAGCCGCTTTGTAAAACCCTAGCCTTGCAAAGGAAGTGGATGCTCTTTATTTATAGAGAGATTTTTGAATTGGAGCATTGTTGGACTCGTCCATCCGGATTTTTAGGCTCAGTTTGGGTCTGTCCTTTGTCCAGATTTTTAATTCGGGCCGCTCACTGGGCCCGTTGGAGCTCCATCAAATAGACTGGTTGGAAAATATATAATGATTTCCATATTATATTAGCTCCTTATTTATTTATTTTTTCTCATAATATAAAAAACTTTAAGTTAATATTATGCCAGTCTCATATAATTTAGTTCATATTTATTATATTATTTTTTATTAGTGGGATATAGTGATTTAAATTTTTTACTTAATTTTTTAACACTTTTTATTAGTTGTTCATCCTTGTTGAACCCATTGTATTAAAACTTGGACCGAAGGACAACCCGTTTTGCTGCTCGAGTCATAGGTCAATTTGTCTAACCGATTGGATCGGTCGATTAGACCAATGACGTCAGCGACAATTTTATTTTTAAAAAACTACATATTAATCCCTTAAATTTTAATATATTATAAAAATTCTCCTAAAAAAGCTTAATTAGTCCTTAAAATTTTTATTTATTTCAAAAATATCCCAAAAATCACCATTTAATACCTAAACTTTTGACATATCTCCAAAATACCCCTATAAAATTAAAATTAACCCTTATAATTTTAAAATATTATAAAATATCCCCTAAGACCTGAACCTGAGAAGCTGTCAGGTCTCGGTCGGACCAATTTTTAAAATGAACCAACAATGATAATAAATGTTGAATTAATATTAAATATAACTACCCATAACTTTGCAGTTTGCACTTATCACTATTAGATAAATAAATGTATAATTCACCAGGGTTGTCAGAAAATAAATTATTTAAAGGTTAAATAATGAGTTGATTATCCCTCATTCCTAAAACCCTAAATTTATAGTAAAAACAAGCTAAAGAAGTAACTTTTTTTTTCTCCATATTTCACTTCTCATTATGATGAATAATAAAGAAGAAAAATTAAATTAAAAAAACTTCAAGGGATTGGTTTGACAATTAAGAAGGTTTGCTTCTTTTATTAACTTTTTGTGTTCAAACTACTTTAGAGCTTACCCTGAAACATTCGGTTTATAGGGCATTCAATGGATTTTGAGGATTAGTTGAAATATGCGTAAACTTGCCGAAACACCATAAAAAAAACATAAAAAAATAAAGAAGAATGAATCACAATATTCCGAACCCTTTCATAAAAGTCCGATAATTAATAATCAAAATATATGATGAAAAAAGAAAGAATTGATTTCTGTGCATTCTCAGAATCTCAGCCTTCATATTGGTCGATTTCGAAAAATTTTAAGGTTAATAATTACTTATTAAAAAGGTACAAAATATTAACTCAAAACAGCATCCAAATTATGTAACCGAAATTGTATATCCATCTAACAGAGAAAACTCTAACTGGCCAATTGTAATCAACGGAACGCATCTTTCAACTTCTTTTATGAGGTTTATTTCTTATGCCCTATTAATGAATCTGAAATGAAGTAAAAAAGTAAAGTCTTTTGTGACACGGCAGGACAGGGCCTGCAGAAAAAACAATACAATATTATTCAAAACCTGCTTCTTATGCCCTATTAATGAATCTGAAATGCAGTAAAAAAGTAATGCCTTTTGTGACACGGCAGGACAGGGCCTGCAACAAAAACACTACAATATTATTCAAAGCCTGCTTCTCTTATTTCACCAAGAAAACGTTTCAATCATTCATGACTCCTTTATAACGAGAAGAGCAAGACTGGTCAATTTGTTATTTAACACATGCATGAAATAGGACAGGTTTATATTCATTTGAACACTTGTTTCCAAAATCCAGGCAGTAATGGCTCAAAAACAAACTGCTTCATTACCATAAACTGAAAAACTTCTAAGAGATACAACACTTGTCACTGTGTCCAAAGCCCCACATAATACATCAGGTGANAAAAAACTTTAAGTTAATATTATGCCAGTCTCATATAATTTAGTTCATATTTATTATATTATTTTTTATTGGTGGGATATAGTGATTTAAATTTTTTACTTAATTTTTAACATTTTTTATTAGTCGTTCATCCTTGTTGAACCCATTGTATTAAAACTTGGATCGGAGGATAACCTGTTTTGCTGCTCGAGTCACCGGTCAATCGGTCCAACCGATTGGACCGACCGGTTGGACCAATGACGTCAGTGACAATTTTATTTTTAAAAAACTACATATTAATCCCTTAAATTTCAATATATTACAAAAATTCCCTTAAAAAAGTTTGTTAGTCCTTAAAATTTTTATTTATTTTAAAAATACCCCAAAAAATTACCACTTAATACCTAAACTTTTAACATATCTCCAAAATACCCCTATAAAATTAAACTAACCTTTATAATTTTGAAATATTACAAAATATCCCCTAAGACCTGAATCGGACTGGAGAAGCTGCCAGCCCTCGGTCAAACCAGTTTTTAAATTGAACCAACAATAATAATAAATGTTGAATTAATATTAAATATAACTACCCATAACTTTGCAGTTTGCACTTATCACTATTAGATAAATAAATGTATAATTCACCAGGTTGTCAGAAAATAAATTATTTATAGGTTAAATAATGAGTTGATTATCCCTCGTTCCTAAAAACCCTAAATTTATAGTAAAAACAAGCTAAAGAGGTAACCTTTTTTTTTTTTTTTTTTTCCATATTTCACTTCTCATTATGATGAATAATAAAGAAGAAAAATTAAATTAAAAAAACTTCAAGGGGTTGGTTTGACAATTAAAAAAGTTTACTTCTTTTATTAACTTCTTGTGTTTAAACCACTTTAAGGCTTACCCTGAAACATTTGGTTTATAGGATGTTTAATGAACCTTGAGGATTAGTTAAAATACACGTAAACTTACCGAAACACCATAAAAAAACATAAAAACTCTAACTGGCCAATTGTAATCAACGGAACGCATCTTGCAATTTCTTTTATGAGGTTTATTTCTTATGCTCTATTAATGAATCTGAAATGAAGTAAAACAGTCATGCCTTTTGTGACACGGCAGGACAGGTCCTGCATCAAAAACACTACAATATTATTCAAAACCTGCTTCTCTTATTTCACCAGAAAACGTTTCAATCATTCATGACTCCTTTATAACGAGAAGAGCAAGACTGGTCAATTTGTTATTTAACACATGCATGAAATAGGACTGGTTATATTCATTTGAACACTTGTTTTCTAAATCCAGGCAGTAATGGCTCAAAAATGAACTGCTTCATTACCATAAACTGAAAAACTTCTAAGAGATACAACACTTGTGTCTGTGTCCAAAGCCCCACATAATACATCAGGTGAAACGTAATTCAGATTGAAAAGTTCACCAGTTTTACACGTCTATACAGAATTTGCAAAAAAGCTTCAAGTCTTTTTTAAATTTATTGGCATCTACTTTGAAACCTTCCAAAATACCTGTTAAGATAATCAGAAGAAGATTAATTTAGACGGAAAGTAATGAAACAACCAAAAGTATTATAATAGAACTAACTATATGCAACCTGCCAGGTTCTCTACCTTCTACTTCTGGCCTTTCTTCCATAGTACCCCAATCTTCTTCAGCATGTTTGCATTTTTCTTCTTGGGAGAGTCATCATCCATGTCTTCTGAGTAAGGAGATCCCGTAGTCCCATTCATGGGTTTAAAGTTGCTTTCTACATATTTCCCATTGTTACCGGTTGAAAGCATAGCTGTGGCTGCCTCAGCTGCCTTCCTCCACTGGTCTGACTGCACTTTTAATCTCCTCATTTCAGCCTCCAGTTCTGTATTTGCCACCTGTGCTGCGTCAAGTTGCTCAGTCACACGTGCTGCTCTTCTGCTGCTTTTATCGGCTTCCTCCGTTAAATAGCCCACTTTCATCAAAGCTTCTCGCTCCGCAGCCCTAGCTGCTTTGGCTAAAGTAATAGCTTCATCATTGACTTTGTTTCTATCTATTTCTCTCTTCTCAATCTCCAACTTGAGCATTTCATTTTGCTCGGTTATACTCTGTAACTCTGTCTCCTTATCCAACATACTTGCCTTCAACTCAGCTAAATCTGTCTCTAACTTCTTCAACTCCATTTCAAGTTCAGAATCTCTTTCCTTAGGTTCATTTTTCCTGATCTTCAAATTCAGTCCCTCATTTTCCTCTGATATATTTTGCAGTTCTGTTTCCTTGTCCATCAAATTTCCTCTCAACTCTTCGATATGAGCTTTGGCATTCTTCAATTCTGTCTCCAATTCAGCATCTCTCTGGCATGATTCTGATTTTAGACGTTCAACTTGTTCGTATGCACTTCTAATCTGTAATGTGCTCTGAATATATTCTTCCTGGTACCTGGTCTCAGAAGCATCTAAAGCAGATCTCAGTTGACTCAATTCATATTTAGCATGATTAAGCTCTGCTTTGAGCTGGTCAATTTCCTCCTTTTCCCCATCCTTAATAACCAGTTTGTTTTTCTATTATGAATATATATATATTTTCTTCAACTACTTTTAGCCCTTAAATTATTAATTTAACTATAACATCCCTGGAAAAATTTAGAAATAACCAAAAACACCCCCATCAACCCACATTTGTCAGATTCCGGCAACCACCACCGGAAGGTGGTCGGAATCTGGTATATTGGAGCACTACCGACTAAATATGGGCGGTAGTGTGCCATCATCATTTCTGGCCAGATCCAACGGCCAGATCGTTGGTCGTAGCTGGTGTAACCACGGCCTATTCTTTGGCTGTCGTTGACGACCAAACATGGCCAGATCTACGGTGGATATGGCTGGAAGAGGCCATCTCAACACACGACCGGCTGGATTTGGCGGTCGTGCGTTGATACGGTGACTTCGACCACCCTCCGACGGTGACGGTCGGCTGCGAAATTTAATGGGTGGATGGGGGTGTTTTTATATTTTATGTTTTATTACAAAGGTGTTTAGTTATTAACAAAATTATGGGGTGTTTTTGTTAATTTTAAATCCTACCTCGTTAGTCCTACTCAAATCTAAAAATATTATCCAAAATACTAAAAACGACACACCTAATTATCCAAAGAGGTAAACCACTTTTTCCCACCAAGGTTTGTCTTAATGACATTTCTCACCCAACGTTTATATGTTAATATTGAAAATGCACATCATTTCGTAACCGGGGTTCGACGAGTTACAAGAGCCAAGGTAAGAGGTTTTTGTAGTGTGAAGATTGGTGATTAAATGATGATAATCGATTGAATATTCATCGTTAGAAATCAACTAAGAAAAAAAACGCAAGCTTGTGGGATGGGCAATCGGCGAGAAATCAGGTGTCAGGAATGAGAGAAGTTTTGTAGAGAGAAGACCGGAGGTTCAATGGTAATGACGAAGAGAATTTTCACATCGGAATCGGCTTTGGGTAATATCGAAATATTAACTTTGAGTGAGAAAGTAGCATTTTAAAAATTTTTTGGTGGGGGGAAAAGTCGTTTATTCTTATCCGAAAGTGTAATATCAGGTTGGGGTAGAATATGATAAGACTTTACTACTTTACTTTGTAAAGGAAGACGAAGGGTTTGCTTTGTTTACAATAAAAGCAACAAAAACGCTCTTAATCTTTCATCATTTGCTTGGTGACACAAACAAATCAATACGGCCCAAAGCTCTACTTTTCACCAAAACTGCTTCAAATGATTATGAATAAAGGCAAAATGATTGAACCTAAAAATGCTTTGTTTGTTGTGAGGTATACAATACCTGCTTCTGAGATTTAGTTAATAGAGGATAAACATATATTAATAACAAATGATTATTATAATAAAAGTTTTGTTAATCTTGGTTTTACAAGTTAGTGCTTGTGCGTGGGCCTTCAAATTCATCATGTTATCTTTTGATCTTAATCAGGTTTGTAAACTTTCTTTTACTCACACACCTCCATTTCTCTTACACTTTCAAGCCAAGAAAAGTTACAACTTTTTAATTCTAATATTGTTTTGAAATATTATGCGAATTTCCAACTATTAGAATCCAAAAATGGACATGTATGAAATAATAGTTGCAGTTCATAATTCAATCTTGCACAAAATTTGAAGGAAAATAAGTCGACATACAATAAAGAATATGCATTTTTTTTTAATTTTGATGACAAGAGTATTCTTGTGCATACTTAAACAATCTCTCATGCCTTTGAAGTAACAACAGTATGAATATGTTATGTGCACATTTCCTGTTGTATTGAACTAATAATATAAAAAGGTGAAGGAGATCTCGATTCAAAATCACAATCTCAAATTTCTTGAAGTGAGTTTGTCCCAGCAACGTAATTTCCAGCAGTCAACTTGGAATATGAAGACAGAACCCTTTTGGGCACAACTGCAAATTACACAGATGAACGATATAATAAACATCGTTTCCAGAGCAGTGCAAATTCAAAGGACAAAGAGAAGAGACTCGTGGAGATTTTGAGACCAGACATCTATTATACATGCATCCACAATTTCAGATGGCTTTTCACAACCAGATTTTGAGACCAGACATCTATTATACGTTGCATCCGCAATTTCAGATGGCTTTTCACAACCCAAATCAAGAAGATCAAGAAATTCCTATATTGCGGTAATGCATTCAAGTCCACATTGTGAGAACTGAGAACCGCTTATATGTGAACTTCCATGTTTTGAGTCATTAACTTTTTATTTATTCCCCTCCCCCACCTAAGTCAAATTTTGCTTCATTTAAATTAAAATGATTGTAGAACATAAAGAAACTTAGAGTTATATGAAACTACCAAACTCCAATTCACAGAAAGAGATTCCACTATATAAGCATAATATTTCAAACATTATATGAGTACATCTTTTAATTATCAACTAGTTGGCCAAACCAAAAACCATAAAAGAAAAATTTAAAAAAAAAAAATCTCAGATTGTGAGTGGAAAACAGGCAAGAATAAGAAAATTTTAAACCACATATCATAGCTGGACTATTATGGCTGAAGCTAATATAAAGTATGACCTATATGGTTGAATTACTCGGAATTTATCAATCTCTTGTAACTCCCAAATGTTTCTGCAGTTTCACGAACCATAATACCACTCACTCAGTGAAGCAGCAACTTACATCAGCAAATCAAAAAAATAGAGAGAATTAAGACTTTGAATAAATAATAAATAAATAAAAATCATCAATACAGTTCATAGAAATATGGAGATCTGTTTCTTGTCAAAACTGATCTCTATTTGATTTGTCCTATCAGTTCCTTTAGAGAATTATTTACCGAAATATGCTGGTTTTTAGTGCTAATTATAATTATGTCAATCTAGTACAGGTTATTTTCATGAATGCTTCCAACTGCAGTTCAACTTCTTGACAGGATATGGCACCACACAAATTATTCTCAGCTATATATTAAGATAAAATTTCAATATAAGATGGAGGGCACAGTAGAATAAAGACTAGAAGGTTTCCCAAGAACTCGATGCTCATAAAATAGCCATTTATGTCAAACCTCACAAGTAATTGATAACTGATTTGTGCAAGTGAGGATGATCATTCATTATAAACTGTCCTAAGCAGAAGAAGAAGAAGAAAAAGGCAGAGCTTCTAAAATTTTTATTGATTATTCATAAAGTAATGTAAAATTAATGCTGCAGCTTTGACCAAGTTACCTAGAATTATAGCCCCATGCAAATCTGCACTAAGAAGACATTGAGCCAACTGGTTTTTCCTGCAAGATTGAAAGAAATCATGGTTATAGCTTAAAAGATAAACAGATAATGATGATGACAATACAAGGCATAAGACCATGCATAATCCAAATATCAGCAAAATTATAACAAAGTAATATCTCACCCAAAAAAAAAAAAAAAATCCAACAACAAACAAGCAAAGTATATTGAAACATTGGCAAAATTATGAGGAGGAAACAATATCATCACCGGTGGTTTTAATAAGTTGCAGTACATAGCCCTCCACATTTCATGCATTGGCTATAAGTTTCAAATCTGTAACTCGAACACAAAACCAACAATTTTTAGACAAAACTACTGTAAAAGAGGAAGAAAATTTGTCAAACTACAATCGCAATATAAATTACATCATCCAAACAAATAATTGAGACAAATAGAAATTGATTAATCATAATCTTTCTGTCTCTTGAAAATTCAAGGAACTATTTTTCCCCACATACCTCAAATTTATATAACTAAAGTAGGAAAAATAAAAATACTGAAATTGCACCACTCAACAGTTCAAATGATGAATAAAGTATGACAGAAATTCATTGATCAATAATCAGCAACTTTATCCCAAACGTAGAAGACGCTGTGTCTATTTAGATCTCCATTCCTAGATTCTCTTTCATACCCTCTTAGTTGAAAAAGAAATATCTCTACATTGTGTGGTGTGATGCAAACAGAATAGAAGACACAACACCAGCAGATTCAAGCAAGATTATAGAACAAAATGCAGGTGCAGATAGAGAGAGGAAAAAGAGCTGCAGCTCTCAACCATATGCATCTTAGACAACCACCTTTGGAGCTCCTGAGGTAAATCAAATAATCCACTTTTTAAGTTGCTTCATAGACATGTGCTTTTTAGAGCGTTTTGAGTGGGTCTGCAAAGCACTGATGTCATAACTAGTAGATGCACCGTCCTTGTACATAATTATCAAGGAGGAAGCAATTGTCAATTTTCACACTTCTTGATCCCTGCAAGTACTTCGGAGCTGAGTCACCATTTTGGAGAGATCATGCAAAAACGTGTCAACTGAGCTTCCTCTCCTACTAGATTTCTGCATGGTGCCAGATAAAATGTAAAGCAAGAAGCTAAGTAAAAGAATGTTATATCTTAATTGTAAATTCATAGACTTGATTGTGTTAGAGAAAAAAAAAAAAAAAGTACCTTGACATCAGTTGCAACAAATCTCATGCATGGGCTGGGTGAGCCGAAAATATGTTGGACCACTAATTCCACATCTGTCCAATATTGAACAACCTTTTATATTTATAAAATATAAAAAACAGACTCTTTTTGAGGTAAAAAAATTACATTAAGGATATAGAAATACCTTGTGATGTAGTGTAACCCACGAAAGTGAAATTGCCTACATATAATTCATAATGTGAAGTACAATTAGGTATTGTGGGTAACAAAAAGATAAAATCTAAAATATATTAGCTGATGCAGGGGAACTGCATCTTAAATAATTATTTCTAAGGCAACTGGGGAGGAAAAAAAAATATAATCAACTTAGAAGCAAATGGCACAACTTGAAAATACAATAAAAAAACACTTAAGCAAGTAATAATATGACAACCTCTCTTAGCTGACTCATTTGGGGGGTTATAATTGGCATCTGTTAGATGTGATGACGAAGTAATAGCTAAAGAATCTGATCCTTTTCATCTCTTGAGGGTCTCTTTTTTCCATGCTTTGTCTGTTGAAGAGCCTCGGCTTTGGCAATAGCAAACCTTCGCTCCAATGCCTCCATAGCATGTTTTCTTGATTCCAGATGTAGTATATTGTAGCCATTGCTACTAGATTGTTCTACTATTTTTCTTGCAACTAGAAATTAAGACTAAACCTATATCCAATAGAATCACACTTGCTGATAAATATACCAAAGCATTAAACTTATGTCGAAATTTTAACTATAAATCTAATTTCAAAATTTTATTAGCTAATATCCACAATTTCATAATTAGTTGACAGAATTTACGAAAGCAACATAATAACTTATTGATACACTGAGAAGTTCTAAGAACTCCTATAAACACTAGGACCTGACAATTAAAAGTAGTTTCAAAAAACCAAAAGCACACCACAGAAGCACCATGTTCTTCACAAAATTTTCTTACCCACAATCATGGACTCAAACTGGCATTAACTCACTAACACAAACTGGCATTAATACTCACAACACAAAACAGGGCGTAACATAAAGGGGGGCTACAACACGGGGTAGCTGGGGGGCCCTCCTTAAAAAAAATTAGGTTTTGTTTTATGAAAATTATGTCAATATGAACAATTAGCCTTTTTTTCATTAATCTTTCCAAATCTTTGACAAAGTAAAAAAAAAAAAAAGAGTATGCTAACAAGTTTATTTTATCTTTCATATTTAACTCCTTTATATAAAAAGAAATTAGACTTATCAAGGTACATGAGTAAGCAATACTCTCTCACTTCATACAAGTCGCAAACTAACTTGATTACCACACAGCATATTAGAGAGAGACTGATATGCAAACAATTCCAAATAAAAAGTCTATGCAAAGATGATAATCCACACAATCATTAACCAAGAACACCTTTTAACTCCCAAATGTTGGCTATGGCGGAAATTTGACACCCCTTTGGACATTTTATCAAACAATTACCATCAACCCAGAAGTAGAAGAAGAGGAAATAGACACCTTTCTGACATTTTATCAAACAATTATTATCAACCCAAAAGTAGAAGATAAAGAAGAAGCCAAAGTAGCAACGCTTTCCCGCAAAACCAAAATAAATCTAATTAAACGGCCTAGTGTTAGTTGATGCGATTGTATTGGTGATTAATAGATTTTCCAAACACATGGGGTTACATATACAGATAGAGAAACAAAGGAAATGAGAGATAAAATGTGGAGTTGAAAATAGCATGAAAAGTTACCAGGAAGGAGTAGTGGCTCTGCTCTGGATATGGAGGGGTATCTTGCGCTTGCCCCTTTGTGTTGTGAGTATATGCATCCGCCAAGGAAGCTTGTTTGGGTGTTGGTGTAGATTAGAAAGACTGGAAATAATCTATCACTGATGGAGCCAAAGGTACCTTCGATTCAGGTCCTAGCGAAGAAATTGCTTAATATGTGCTCAAAAACAAGCGGATATGCTGGTTAGGATTTGTAGTTGTAGTTAGAATAGAAATAATATATAGGGCTTAGTAATGCTTTTAAATTTTAAATTTTTAAAATTATGTATATTATTAAGAATGTTTAAAATTAGATAAATGCTAACCTACAAAGAGAAATACAAAAAGGGGCATACAAAGACAAATCATGTCCTTAAAAGAAGGGAAAAAAAGAGAGAAAGACCATCACAAAGACAAATCATGCCCCACCAATACGACACAATGCTAACCTATTGGAAAACATGCCCCACCAATACGACACAATGGCCGAACAATTAAAGTCTCCACAACCACTACAACTACAAACACATCAATAAATATGGTCTAGATACATGTTAAAAAACCCTTTCGACATAATTAATTGCAACAACCAATAGGGCCGAACCATAATGTCAGGGTAAAAAATTGAACTTGTAATGCAATAAATTTACTACTTATTTAGTATGATATTGCAAAAAAAATTAGATTTCAAATTATATAATGTCTGAAAAAACTAACCTTTAAGTACTATTGATTGTTTAAAAAAAACATGTAAAATAGTAGACATAAACATAATAATTAGAATTTTATTATTATGGAATCCAAAAGTTGTTAAACATGTTAATACAGTAGTTCCACATAACATACAAACTTTCATATTCACTTCTTCTTAAAAACACGTTGATTACGGTATATAGTTTTGATGTTTAGTTTAACTGTTATAATTAAATAAATAACTATTTCGATTCCTGAACGTATCCCCAGAGTTGTTTAAACATCATGAATAAAGTCTGTTTTTTTAATGAATAGTTGTTATTAATATTCTCTGATTATGGACAAGTCATTCAATGATATTATATCTATATAAGGATAACCAAATAGAATTTATATTCCATTCAACAGTCGTGCCAATTCAAAAAAATTCTCCTTTCATTCAACATATTCATTAACCTATGGCAGACAGGAAACCAACTATAACAAATAAAATGTTTAAATTCAATATCCAATGAATGAATACAAACAATATACATTAACACCCAAGAAAAACAATAATAATGTAAAAAAAAAAATTTATAAATATACCCGCGCAACGCGCACGCTTTAAGACTAGTTATCAAATATGTTATGGCAGGTAAGAATATGTGAAAGATAGTAGTTTTTATAATATATTTTCATAAAATAAGGTTTTAAGATTATTAAAATAGATGTATTAAAACTATAATATATTTTATAAAATTTTTAAAGATTAAATTCATCAAATAAAATTAAAACCTGAATACCGATAACCTTTTATTAAAAAAAAAACCTTTAAAGAATCAAACTAGTGTTAGAAAAGAAAAATTATGCAAGTGTGAAAGAGTTTATTAAAAGTAAAAAAAGGAAAAAGATGTATGAGGATCTTTATTATAATGGATTAACACATCAAAACTAAGCCCAAAAACTAACTCATGGACCAGTCTCTTTGATAACATAAAAATACGAAATAAGAATAATATGAAATAATATAATTTCAAATACAATCTTATTATTATAATTTTAAACATATTTAATAATATACAAATATATTTTGAAAAAATTTAAATTTAAAGCAGTTTTAAAAATTTAATTGTTCAAGGTCCTAGTGTTTATAGGGAGTCTTAGAACTTCTCAGTGTATCAATAAGTTATTATGTTGCTTTCGATAAATTCTGTCAACTAATTATGAAATGTGGGATATTAAGCTAAATAAAATTTGAAATTAGATTTATAGTTAAAATTTGTACAATAAGTTAATGCTTTTGGATATATTTATCAGCAGGTGATTCTATGCATAATAGGTTTAGTCTCAATTTCTAGTTGCAAGAAAAAAAGTAAAACAATCTAGTAGCAATGGCTACAAATACTAATCTGGGAATCAAAGAAACATGTTATGGAGGCATTGGAGCGAAGATTGCCATTGCCAAAGCCGAGGCTTCTTAACAGACAAAGCATGGAAAAAAGAGACCACGAAGAAGATGAAAAAGGATCAGATTCTTTAGCTATTGCTTCGTCATCACACTAACAGATGATCAGTTATAAACTCCCCAAATGAGTCAGATAAGAGAGGTTGTCATATTTTTACTTGCTTAAGCATTTTATTTATATTTTCAAGTTGTGCCGTTTGCTTCTTGCTTCTAAGTTATATATTTGTTTTCAAAAAAAACATCCAAACATTCGATCAAAACTAGCAACTAAACAAATCACCAACAATTTTCATTCGCATGACCTCATATATGATTAATATCAGAATCAAGTAGACTTAGCTCAACAAGCATAAACTCTATAATCACTAAAACTGGTGCAGATTACAGAATTTTTCTAAGTTAAAAATAAGCATTTCAATTTTCTATAATCCAATAAACAACGAATCAATACCAAAGAATCCTTACATTACGATCAGTAAATGAGAAAAATTAACGCCCAACTTTTTAAATCAGATTCAAGTTAATAAATGCTCCTCTATAAATCTCGGGGTTTACAGAAACTAATAGGCTAATACAAGAATGATGATCTAAACTACTAAAACCAACAAGAAAACTCCTAATAGAGCCCTGGATTTGCGAACTAAAATTATATCTTAGCAAAATGAAAGAAGAGTACGTACCCCATGATGGTAGGTAAAGATATCCGACTTCTACGAAGCTCTGAGAAACGGAAGAGTGAGAAGAACACAGCAGCGCTTTGTAAAAACCTAGCCTTGTAAAGGAAGTGGATGCTTTATTATAAGAGATTTTGAATTGGAGCATTGTTGGGCTCGTCTCATCAAGATGGCTTTAGGTCAGTTTGGGTCTGTCCTTTGTCTGGAAAATATATATGATTTCCATATTATATAGCTCCTTATTTATTTATGTTTTTTCTCATAATAAAAAACTTAAGTAATATTATGCCAGTCATAATTTAGTCATATTTATGTATATTAGTTTTTTATTTGGAAAAAAAAAAAAAAAAAAAAAACAATTACAGAACAAAGAAGTGAGCGCTAACATTGTTGAAAGTTGAAGAGAGTTTCATGAAACAGAAGCGCTTACCTGAACAAACAAGTTGGTTGGCTGTGTTTGAAACACTTTTAAGAAGCAGAAGTGACAAAGCGAAAACCCTAGCAAGAAAGAGATGGGAAGCCAAACAAGGCGTTAAGTTGAATTAGCTTAGTTTCAGGTGCAACAGCGCTCAGTTCCCGAGTTAGTGAGTGAGTGAGTGAGCGAGTCTTGTGTTTTGTCAGTGGAGAGAGCAAGCAACTAAGCAAGCAAAAAAGTTTGCTGGACGTTTTCCTATACATAGATGCTACTTACCATTTTCCACGCTCTCTTTATTTCACGCGCCTCTATTGTCACGTGATTTTATGCTCACTGTTTACGCCTACGCGCCTCTCCTCTCTATATGTAATCGTCCGTTTCTGCATTTTATTATTATTAATTAGATTTGAAATTTCTAAAGGTAACGGAGAGCGACATGTTCCGCCCAAGGTTTGGCGAAACGAGTTTCAAAATGACACTTTTTGCCTTTTCAGGTTTTATTAATATTTTTTTTTTAATATTTAACTGAAATGATAAAAATATATTTAAACAGTTTATTACTTAATTAATTTATTATAAATCAAAATTTTTACTTGGTTATTTATTATTTCAAATGTAAAAATATATTTTTACTTT